CAAGTCACCGGACCCTTTCACCTTGCTGTTCCATCACCGTCCTTCCCGTCGTGGCAATTGAGTCTAACTGAAAACCCAAGTTCGAAGTGTGTGAGTCTGTGTGCGTGTGTCCCACCCTGTACCAAAGGGTCCCACTCGATCCAGATTTATTTAACGGAAACCAGCAGGGGCGTGTGACACGCTTATCCTATCACACGCAATGAAGCTGTGGATGAGAGTGGGAAGGGAAACTTGGCCGGTTCCCTGTACCGGCATGTAGCGTCCCTGGATGACTGACCTTAAGTTGGGGTCATTGCTGGGAGCTACTGTGACTTTTCTGCGTGCCATTAATTCAAGAGTGCTAAGTACTCAGTAACTAGTTTTGCGGAATCCATTGTTGAAACACCTACAAGTACGCTGACCCCACTTTTCTGTTCTGCACCAAGTAACCAGTCAAGTGCCTTGCATTTCGTGGATTATCGCTCGGAATGAAACTCTATCGAAGTGTGTACTGCTACACTTTCCCACTTGGGTGCGTACTCTGATCCCCGCAAGGGGCGCTGAGACCATCCGGGATTATCGCAGCCTGCATATTCTTTTGTGTTCCAGAAGTTTCCAAAATGAAAAGGGACTTGCGCGGATCAACCGATTCACAAGCCGCCGGGCCTACGGAGAATGGCCCCCGTTGCTCTTGAGGCCCGTTTCCCTGGTCCTCGGTTTCGGTTCTTTCTCTCCTGCTTTTTCGTTTCTCTTTCTAGGTTTGCCTTTTGGCTAGCGGCTAGAGGCTTTTAATTTTAGGTATGTTAACCAGGCCTCACTCATTCGACTTGGATTTCATAAGAGCTTAGTAGGGGGAATTGCGTCTCGACCGATTGCGCCGGATGCTGAAAAGTTTGTTGCTGTCATCCAGGACTATGCATCCTTGCCAAGTCAGTGTTACCCACATCACGTTCGCGTGATCACCCCTTTCATTGCTAAGGAGGATACTCTTGAAGCACCATACGCATTGCGTTGGCAGAAGCGGGTTGTGACTTTTGCGCGAAGACACGAAGACACGTGAAGACACGAAGACACGCGAAGACACGAAGACACGAAGACACGAAGACCCGAAGACACGCGAAGACACGAAGACACACGAAGACGCGAAGATATGAAGACACGAAGACAAAGACACGAAGACGCGAAGATATGAAGACACGACACGAAGATATGAAGACACGAAGACACGAAGACGCGAAGACACGAAGACACGCGAAGACACGAAGATACGAAGACACGAAGATACGCGAAGACACGAAGACACGCGAAGACACGAAGACACGAAGATTCGCGAAGACACGCGAAGACACGAAGAGGCTTCAGGCCTTCAAGGCTTCAGGTCGTCACTAGGCTTCAGGTCTTCAAGGCTCCAGGTCGTCACCAGGCCTCAGGTCTTCAAAGCTTCAGGTCGTCACTAGGCTTCAGGTCTTCAAGGCTTCAGGTCGTCACCAGGCTTCAGGCTTCAGGTCGTCACCAGGCTTCAGGTCTTCAAGGCTTCAGGTCGTCAGGCTTCAGGTCGTCACCAGGCTTCAGGTCTTCAAGGCTTCAGGTCGTCACCAGGCTTCAGGTCTTCAAGGCATCAGGTCGTCGCCAGGGTTCGGGTCTTCAAGGCTTCAGGTCGTCAGCAGGGTTTCAAGGCTTCAAGGCTTCATGTCTTCAAACGAAAGTCACCCGGGACTGCCAGCACACTGACCATACGCTGAGATTCCTTTTCGCAAACGCAATGGGCTTTACCAGAGAATCAAAAATGTCATCGGAGTAAATTTTTTTGCACATCTCGATCGAAGACTGAGCGGGCTCCGGGAATTCATAATTTGTAATTAGGTGTGCTTCGCACGGGGGCTAGGGTTGAACTTTGTTTTGTACAAAGGTACTTACTTTGTCGTAGTGCTATCTTCGATATGTGGATACCTGTCTACCTTCTAGCACCCCACATATGTGGAAGGGCGTAGAAACTTGGCCGGTTTCCTGTACCGGCGTGTAGCGTCCCTGGATGACTGACCTTAAGTTGGGGTCATTGCTGGGAGCTACTGTGACTTTTCTGCATGCCATTAATTCAAGAGTGCTAAGTACTCAGCAACTAGTTTTCCGGAATCCATTGTTGAAACACCTACAAGTACGCTGACCCCACTTTTCTGTTCTGCACCAAGTAACCAGTCAAGTGCCTTGCATTTCGTGGATTATCGCTCGGAATGAAACTCTATCGAATGTGTGTGTTTGTGTTGAGAGTTGACCATCCATACACCGTTTCGGTTGAAAGAACATCCTTTCGGTGGATTCTGTTTTGATTTGCTGAGTGGAAAATGTCCTTTACTCCGGCCGGTTGGGCCGTTGAGGTGTGGCGGCTGCCATGAAGGTGTGGAGATGTCGGGAGGAGTTGGGACCTGGCGTTACATGGCTCCAGAGATGGCTCGCCATGAGGCCTATGATGAAAAAGTGGACATCTATGCTTTCAGCATGATCCTTTATTTTATATTTTCAGGGAGACAGCCTCTTGGCTTGTGGTGTGGATGGGTGCTGTCCTTCAGTTGTGCTGAATTTGCTGATGTCACGTCATCCAAGGCCATTCTACTCCTATGGGAAAGACCTCGATGTGGTGTTGCAAGCATACCAAAAAGGCCACAGTTGCAAACTTTTGTGGGTTTGTTTGCATGGATCACGGTTGTTAGTCATCCACAAAACCACCAAAAAACAATTCGCAACGCGAAGGTGAAGAGCCGAGACCCTCTTTGGACGTGTTCGTCGGAATACAGGAACTTCGTGACCTGCTCCCATGGGCATGGCATGCCAATGCCAGTGAGAGGCCCACAGCGGAGGAGTGCGTTCAGCACCTCTCGGTCGTGGAACCACCAGGCCTGAAACTAAGCTGAAATCTAAGAATCGAAAACTGATATCGCCCGCTGGTACGTTGAAATTTCGCACCTAACCCTGGGCCATGAACGAGGCTACTAGAACATGAGCAGACCACCAGGTTCTTGTAGGATTGTCAGAATTGATTGAGACGGTTTGAGGTCCTGGCACGTTGTTTTTTTTGTTCTGAGTAGTGACTCAAAATCCAACGGATGGATCAGAGATAGGATTTTCATTGTCCACTAACAAAGTGTTTGGGCAAATTCGATTTGGAGTCATAATCGATTGCCGTTGATGATTGCCTAAGGAGAAAGACCATGAAGGACCTCGTGAAGATGTGGAAGGGGAAGACGGCCTAACTACTTTTGACCACATCAATTAATTTTAGATTTTATATAGATATACGTAAATTCTTGCATAGGGTCCATCGTAGTCTGCTGACATGGCTGGCTGATGTTGAAGATTCGTACTTAAAGGAATCCAAGGACCTTGCCATGTTGGCGAGACCAAGTTGGCCACAGCTCGACCAACTACATGAGGCTTTGGTGGGCTGTAGGTTAATTGTGGAATGTTTGTTTTTTAGTGCTATGTGGAAATCCATTTTGAAGGGAACACAGGTCAGGACCGCGGAAGTGAGGGGTTGCTGGATCAAATCTTGCAACTCCCTTTCCCCTCCAAAACGGTGAGCTCCAATTCTGATCCCACCGATTCCACTTCAGTACTCTCTACATACCTGAGATCTGAAGATCAGGCATCGAAGTGAAACAAGAGACACGTACGGTATCATTGATTGCAGGGTACGGTATCAGCACGTTTGATCTTGTTTGCCTCCTTTGATGCCTTTGAGGTACTTCAGCACAGGAATTTCATATAATGCGCATCCAGTATGACCCAGTGGCCAAGCCATTGGAGACCTTGGTGGGCAGTAGCTGGCACAGACTCTAATGTGTGGCGTAGACTCTAATGTGTGGCGTCGCCAACTCTCCCACAGTCAAGCAATGGTCGCCAGTCACTGAGCATCACGTACGATTTCTTCTAAAAGTCTTCGCTCGATGCCTTAAACATCCTTAAGCCGCCGGAACAAGCTTGTACCTACCCACTCAAGGCCGTAATGAGCCAGCCAACCGGCCAGCTAGAAACGAAACGATACAACTCGGCAGCTAGACAGACCGGAGAGTTTGATTTTGCTCGACGGGTTGACTTGTGCCTCCTTTATTTGGCTCGCGGGAGAGTGTGGTGCCAGGAAAGCATTGATCAGCTGCTGTATATATGCATTGCTTGGAATTATTGGCCCAAAAATGGACCCGTGGTGTGCGTGCATGGTCATCAGCAATTCTCTCCCTTCTTAACAACCCTACAGGACCTGAAACCTTGCTCTCGCATGCAGGAGATGATACCACTTCAAGTCCTCCAATACCTGCATGTGAGGTACGCTCAACATAAATATCTCAAAGTTATTGTAAAAGCAGGGCAGTATTTTTGGATGTCCCCGGTCCCCCTTGATTTTGTGGAAGTGCTCAAAACCCTGTAGAACCATAGGAGACTTACCCAAGACGACAAGCTATGTGGCTATGTGACCCACTCTACTTGAATTGTGGCCATGTGTGAGCGTGCCTAGAACGATGACCAGACCAATCACTGCAGGGGGACGTCTCGGGACCCACCTGTTATAGGCCTGAAGACTTGTTTACTGGCAGTGGCATTCGAGGAACCACGTGCAAACATTGTAAATTGAGGTCTTTTTCACTGGTAAGGCAGACCAGAGCGGGAACAGCCAACCTTGGTAACATATTGTACAGTAATGCTAGACGAGAAGAGGCCATGTATCACATATAAGTAATTTTGACCATGGCTCATGTGTTTAAGTGCAAATCTTCGCTGTAACACTGAGTCTTTGGAGGCGGCAAAAAGGCACTCCATGGAATCCCCGCAAGAGAAAGGAACTGAAACGCTCAATGCCTCGGTCATCTCGCTTTTGCTTCCCCAAGCTGGGGCCTTTTGCTTCCGGGAGGATGCTGGAATTGGTGAGCTCGAGTGCTTCGAGAAGGATGCTGCTTTGGGAGGCCGACCGGAGTTCGTTCGGTTGGCTTGGTACCCGAGTGGTTCGGATGAAGGCTGTGAAGAGGTGTCAAGGCCTACGCCGGCCTGATCTAGCTGGTGATCATGGTTGGAGAAGCTATTCAGCCCTACTCAGCCAAACATCCCCCTTGGGGTTTAGCATGTTGTGAATTCAATGACTTGTTTTACACAGAGTATCACAGAGTGTGAGAGTCAGAGCTCCAGTTCCCGGTACATGCGGCCAGCGGTACACATTGTGGACTTGTGGGGTGTGTTTGACGCCGAAGTGAACAGCACTGGGCCGAAGGTGGAGCGGTTTTTGGACGAAGAAGAGCCCAGGTTTACCCTTTTCAATCGTGCGGGTTCCAACAATGGTGTTCATGCACATACTTTTCTCCACTCTGTGGATCTTGTTTTGGGGATTCGTTTCCCCACTGCCTAAGAGAACGAATGAAAACAGATGAATGAATGATTAACCTTACCTTTTCTCAGGAAACTGACGGAATACCTTCATGCATGATAAGGGCAAGCGGCAAGCTGTTCTGTTTGTTTTTGTGCGTTCAATTCATGATCTACTCTTGTCATGTGTGTATTTGTCCAAGGACCGCTGGACGATCTTTTCCCCAACATCGGTCCTGGTCCGACCGTCAATGAGACGAACGTTTGCCACCGTCGCAGGCCTGTTCAACTACGGCCTCAACAAAACCGGAGTGTGAACTGGATGGTTTGTGGGGAAGAGGCGAAGGAGGGTGTGATATTTCGATAGAAAGGCAACTTTAGGAGGCTTTCTATGGTATTTGAGGTAGATGTTTGGATGCCTTTTGAACGTCAAAGGATCATGTCGCCAGCGTGGGACAGCCTCTAACACTTTGTGAGACTGGTCGCACGCCACGTGTTTCAGGCAATGCTTTCAGAATGCAGTTGGAACTTCAGCACTGGTTGAAAAAGTTGAATAGGTACGTTTTTCATCTCTTGGTCGTTTGTGTTGGTTTGTCAAAGGTAAGCTTACTTGGCATTAGGGCATGAGAAGTGAAGCTTGAATGAATGTGACATACGACACCAGCCCCACGTTTTGGCGTTGAGCAACCCATAAGGTCATGTTTGGTCAGGGGATTGCTCAAGCAGATTCCTTTGCCCCGAACATGAAATTGCAGGTGTGTTGAGCGAGCCAGAGGTTGGGGCTGGGTACAAGAGTTGCTGTATGTCACACTGCTTGCCTAATTGAAGGCGGTGAAATATGAGGCCAAGTCCATATGTGAAGAACTGCGTACTTGACACAGCCTGTCCAAAGAAAGTCTTTGCTCAAAATCTTGTTCATTCTTCTTCAATGTCGTACGGGAGTCTGGGCCTGAACTTCCGGGAAAAGGCAAACTCCATTCATTCAATGTGAGAAGGATACAGAGGAACCGTCTAGCCGGGTGGTGAGGGAGTTCCAAATCTCGAAATTTTTACAGACACATGGTATGTCACCCTCACACCACCTGCAACACTTTTGAGATTGGCAGCAGTTGGTTCTTTTGGGAAAGATGAGGAATCTTATGATTTTTGGCACCTGAAAGATGCCAAGGAAGCGCAAATGAGATATAGAAGGCACCTTTCCAAGGGCCTGCGGAGTTCGTTTCCAAGGTATGACAACTGCGTCCTGACCATCAGCAACTACTTGATGGCATTCTCTGACATGCCTCCCACGGGGCCACTTGGCTGTGGAAGAAGCATGTTCATTTGGCTGCGGCTGATGATCTGATGATGATGATGATGATCACTGTGGGGACTCGTTCAGCAGCTGCACACCATTTCTCCCAACTTTCCTCTCCGCTCTTTGAACACACTAAGGAACCTCCAGCTGTACGGTCCTTGAAAGTTGTCGATGACAGCCCTTTAGCAATTTTCAATAATTTTCACGCTAGAGACCTTGAACTTCTAGGTGATGATCATGGTCTGTGCAACTTATTGACACACAGATGTCTTGTGTGCCTTCTGGACATCCTGTACAGAGCAGAGGCTGCATTGGTGAGGTACTTCCCCTATGACCAGAGCATGTGTTCAATCCATATGTCACTACTGCCGGCAGGGCTTCAACTGCCCAGTGCTGAGGCAACTTGGCCTGGCATTGGATTGGCGGCACCACGCTCTTCATCATCCTGATCACAACCTTCAGCACTTCACCCATAGCTGACGCATGCCCGATTTGAATCCCACCTCTGCCAGCAATGCCACCTTGCACTGTCCATCGGGAGCCTCCAATTCCGGGCAGCCTCCAATGTGCCCACATGCCTCCGTCCGCTCCAGAACACTGGGTGAGGAGATTCTCCTGACTTGACACCATGATCCTGGCTCACCGGCTACAAGACTCCTAAGACGGCAGCCCTCCCTCCTTATTCAAGAACCTTTGCCATGAATGGGCAACCATGGAGGAGGTCACCCAATAGCCATCCACGTTCGTTGGGCTTTGCTCATCATGGCGCTGTCCTTGCCTGACCTGGACAGGACAGAGCGCCAACAATCAGGCTGTGTGCCCCACCCTTTGTGATTGCTGTGGTCGCTATTGTTGTTACAATGATGCAAGAGGCATTCGCATGCACCTTTGGCACGCCGTTGCGCAGTGTCGCAACAGCTGCAAATTGTCGACCACTTCTTGCTGTTCTGCACAGCTTTTTGAACAGAGGCCCAGGTCAACCA